TCAGAGAAAAGGAGGGAGGGGAAACAGAGGCATGGGGAGAGGAAGTGACTGTCCCAACATCACACAGCAGGTCACTGGCAGAGACGAGAACAAAGGCCAAGTCTCCTGACTGCCTCTGACCCGCACAGACCAGATATAAAGTCACAGAGGGAAACGACACAACCTAGCAGTAACTGTGCAATGCTACTAGCCCATCTTTACTCAGAGATGGGAGTGCTGCTGGGATTGCTGACAACAATCAATTTGTAACCAAGTGGCAGGTCATCTATAAACAGAGTTTGGGGAGGAATTGTTACAGACAAGCTAGCACTTAGGACACTCAGCGAGTCTGTCATATTTCCCTAGAAAGTGGGAATCAGGCTGTCTTGGAGTTCTAGTACTTTAGTTTCATGCCCAAGTTTTTCCTCTGTTGTTTGACAGAGTTGAGGGGTCATCTTTGCTCAATCTGTGGGTTTTTTGCAATATGTTCCAGTCTTTAATGCATTTGTTCAAGTGACATCTTGGGCTAGATCCCCAGATGGTGCAAACTGATGTAGCCCCATGGATTTTATGGGAGTTGTGCTAATTGACACTAGCGATAACACACCTGAGTAGTGGTCTGATTGTATGCAGTAGTTGTAGCCATGTTGGTCCCAGAATATTAAATAGACAAGGTTGGTGAGGTAGTATGTGAGGCTCAAAAGCTTGTCCCTCTCACCCATGGGAACTGATCCAATAACAGCTATTACCTCACTCACCTTCTCTCTCTAGTGCTCTGATTGTCAGCAGTGAGGAGCACTCGCTGCTCCTAGTCAATGGAAGGATGGGAGGAGTGCTGTGAACATTTAACAGAGGATTATGGGACATTACTCAGAAGGGAATCAAGGCCATTCTCTCTGACACTCGAATCCTGACTATGGATCTTCTCCTTCCCTCCACAGCCATCACACAACGTGCTGAGGAAGAAAATGTCCAACCGAACCACCATGACCGAATTCCTTCTTCTGGGATTCTCTGGTGTTCGGGAGCTGCAGATTTTGCACTTTGTGATGTTTTTGGTGCTTTACCTGGCAGGCCTTATTGCGAACCTTCTCATATTCACAGCTATATCCCTCAACCACCATCTTCACACCCCCTTGAACTTCTTCCTGATGAATCTGTCCATTCTGGACCTTGGATTCATCTCTGTCACCATCCCCAAATCCATGGCCAATTCCCTCATGAACACCAGGGTGATTTCTTATTCTGGGTGTGTCGCCCAAGTCTTTCTCCTCATGTTCCTTGGTTTGGCTGATCTCGGAATCCTGACTGTCATGGCATATGATCGATATGTTGCTATCTGCCAGCCACTGCATTACAAGAGAGCGATGAACAGGAGAGCTTGTATACAAATGGCAGCCAGTGCCTGGATCAGTGGTATTCTTTACTCTGCCCTGCACACTGGGAACACATTTGCGATATCCTTCTGTGGAGGAAATGTGGTGGATCAGTTCTTCTGTGACATCCCCCAGCTACTCAAGTTGGCCTGTTCAGAGTCAGACCTCAGTGAAAATGGGGTTATTGCCTTTAGTGCTTGCTTAGTCTTAAGCTGCTTTCTTTTAATAATTGTGTCATA